GATTTATTTATATTTATTAAAAATAATTATTTTTTTAATTTAAAAAAGTTGTGATAAATTTTAATAATTAAAAGTAAATAGATGAAAAATTAAAATTCTGTATAAGTATAATATATAAAATTAATATATAAGTGAAATTTTTTTTTACATTTTATTTTAATTAAATTTAATATAAAAATTTATGTAAAATTAATTATAAATATCACAATTAATAAGATGTAACATATACATATATATGGAGAGAGATTATAAAAATCTCGTTTAATTATCGAAGCAAGAAGGCCCAATGTCAACTAGGGATGCCTCCTCTTAGGCTATTAGCTATTCATGTTAGTTTTATTTGGGCTGTCTCGTTGCTTGGATCTTTTATCGGCTTAATTCACCTAGTTCAATGGGCCCAATGGCCTAGAAAAAGAGAATTGCTTATGTGTGTGTGTTTTTTTTTTGGGCCTTACAAAAGAAATTAGGAAGAGATCACCTATGAATCACATTGATAATCAATAAAGTTTTTTCTTTTTTGAACATTGGTGACGGAACTCGAACCCCACACTTATTAAATTTTACATGAAAAGTTCTTTACAACAAAGGTGTAGTCACGCACTTGCGGCTTCGGCTGCGTTGGAAGTGCATCATCCCCTTGGCATCTATGTCAAGGGTTTTAACTGCCACTGCTGCAGCAATATTATACTTACTCCCCTATCCTCCAATTTCCCATTGATAAAAAAAAAAAAAAAAACAAAGGTGTAGTCACAAGGTCAAGAGGACGTTCTCATCAATAAAGTTTGTTTGATTTTATTTTATTTTTTTAAATCTTGATGGAAAAGAAAGTTAATAAAGATGAATTAGTGATAATGGAATGATGGGGCCAATGGATTAATCATTTATTATTACCCTTTTCTCTTTTTAGTCTGACGACTATTTGGTAAATGTCGTATTCTCTATAAAAGACAGCAATGTCTGACTTTCTTTTCATCAAGTACCTCTGCTAAAATCAAAATTAAAACAAGCTAGTAATAATTCAAAACAGTCACCATAATTACCACCTGAATGTGGTTTGTTGCTAGCTTAAATTACATTATATTCACATGCTTTCAATTAATCATCAATAGCTATTATTTTTTTAAGTACATCAGCCATCATAGATATTTAAATTCCTAATCTTAACTGAAATTAGGATGAATTATTGTTACATTTTAAATAATTAATGTTATATTTTTTAATATAATTAATTATTATATACTTACATTATATTTTTTCTTTCTAAATAAATTAAAAAATAAAATAACTAATTAAAATAAAAATATGATATTAGTAATTAAAAGTGTAACAATAATATTATTCTAAAAATTAATATTTTTAAATTAATAAATATCAATAAAATCATTAAGGTTAAATACCCTTTTTAGTTTCTCTACTATTGAAAAAAGCTTCTTTTTGGTCCCTATACATAAAAATCCCCTTTATGATCCTTATTGTTTAAAATCCAACTCCTTTTTGGTCCCTCTGTTAAATTTTTACTCACATGACACGTTATCTTAATACAAACATCTAACATAGCTATTATACAATATAAAAGTGCCTACCTGAACTTTAATACCCCTCCATGTCACTTTCCTCGCTTGAAAAAAAAAAAAAAAAACTTAAATGATGAGATCTACATTCTAAAATTCTCCATTTTTCTCTAGTTCTCTCCTCAAATATCATCTTTCAAAATTATTGTTTTTTGCTCATGATCAATCCTTTACATGTGAGATTGATCAAGATATAATTCAGAATTCATAAGAATATTTTCATTGATAAAAATAAAAATTAATTACTAATTAAAATGATTTTTCAATATTATAAACTCTAACTTCTTTTCTGGAAAAGAGAATGACTTTACTCGTTCACTAATTTTAGATTTTCAACTTTTTCTTCCTGTTAAACCTAGGTCACGGATAAACCAAGTTGTGAAGTTAATAGCCACATGAACACAACAACATAAACTTATTATCACCTGCAATTTCAAACACAAACATCAAACACAAACCCATAACTTAATGTCTCTAATTCAAAATTGAACATGAAACTTTGGTTTCATTCGGCTCCTTTCATGGAAGATAGATACATTCAAAATAAAATAAAAAATGAAAAAAAAAGAGGGTTGAAACCTAGAACCTAGGTTTGCGGAACCCAGGTCTGGGTTCCACAAACCTAGCGCAATTGGGTTTTGTGAGGAACTCAGATGATAAAGAAGATGGCAAAGAGAACAGTGAAGATGATGCCGAGGATGAGGAGAAAGAAGAAGATGAAGAAATTAAAGGAGGAGGATAAGGACGAGGAGAAAGAAGAAGATGAAGAAATTATAATTAATTATGTTTTAATTCATTTAATTCATGATTTAAGAAGTAAAATTTTTAATGTGTATAGGTGGTTTAAAATATTCGTATAAAATGCTTACATGGTTTTATATTTTATCCATGTAATTTCCATGTTAATTGATTCTGTTAATTAACATGCCACATGAGCAAAAATTTAATAGAGAGACTAAAAAGGGGATCAAATTTAGTAAGGATCATCAAGAGGATTTTTTCGGTATAAGGACCAAAAAGAGACTTTTTTAATAGTAGAGGGACCCAAAGGTATTTAACCAATCATTAATAACGATTATAATATTATTATATTTAATAAAATACAATCCATGCAGTGGTGAGTGCACTTTACGCTTTACTTTTTCACTTTTCATTTTTTATTTTTTTCC